ATGGGTAGGTGTGAGAGTGTGTGTGTGAGGGTGTGTGTGTATGTGTTTGATGGGGGGGTGGGATGTGGGTGAACAGTGTGTTTGGGTGGGGTGGGGGGAGATGGAGGTGAATGTGTGTGCGCTTTTATTTGTGAGGCTCCTGTTTGCTCTGTTCATTGCTCTGGTATGTATACGATACGTGGACAGTAAGAGTGGGTTTTTGGCGGGTGCTCTGGTGTGGTTCGCTCCTTCTTTCCTACCTAATATCTATCATCTTTTTCTCTCCTGGTTTTTTTTTGGTATATGTTTGTTACTTTCTTGTAACTCCTCTTATCTTCGGCTCTTATATGACCTATTTATGTAGCAAATGCCATAAACTCTAAGTGTGTGGCTGGCGAGTGCTCTGGTGTGGTTTGCTCCTTCTTTCCAATCAATTATTTATCATCCTGATCTCTCCTCCTTTTTTTATGTTTGTTTCTTCTGCACTTATACAACCTAATGATGTGCTGCAAGTGCCGTAAAACTCTTACTAAAGCTTAAAAGTTAACAATTACAATTCTTTATCGCTGGTGTCTTTGGTGCAGTGGTTAGGCACTTTCTTGATGCCATTGGCCTTTACCGGTACTGCAAATTGTAAATATCATTAAAAATTTTTATGTCATTTTAAACCAATAATTTATTTACGGCGAATTTTTCGCATTTTAAATCGAAATATTGACCTGAATCACGCCGTACTGTGAACTGTTGTGAGTGCAACCAACTCTTGTGTCGTGCGCTCATATGACCTTATGCGGTTGCGAGCGCCATAAAACTCTTACTAAACAAAACACAGGATACCCGAGTTCGATTCCCAAGTGGGGAGAAATGTTCATAGAGGATCTCATCTCCCACTTTCTGCTGGGATGTTGTGTCCCTCTGGGCCCGGGCTTTGGCCCTGACAAGCTGGGTTGGAAGCCTGACTCCTACATGATCTAAATTGTGTTGATGGGGGTTTACAAACACCAACCTTTTTTTAAAGTTATTTTTTTTTGTGGGTGGTTGACAGGTGCTCTGGTGTTGTTTGCTCCTTCTTTCCTTTCAGACATCTATCATTACTGTCCCTCCGTCTTTTTTTTTTTTTTTTTAAAGTGTTACTCTCTTGTAACATCTTCAGTCTTCAGCACTTATACAACCTAATTGTGTTGCAAGTGCTGTAAAACTCTAACTAAAACACACCAAAAAATTCTTTCCCAGGTGTCTGGGTTCGATTCCGTCGACGACGAGTCTAAGCCGGAACACTTGCTCCTGGACAAAGACTCGCCTCTGCCAGAGGAATGGACATTGCCGGAGAACCCTCCGTACAGCTACTACCTGTACTACATGTTTGCCAACCTGGTGGTGCTCAACAACTTCAGAAGGTGGCTCTTGTGGCTCGCTCTCTGTGTCTCTCTCTCTGTGTCTCTCTCTCTGTCTCTCTCTCTGTCTCTCTCTCTCTGTCTCTTTGTGTGTCTCTCTCTCTCTGTCTCTCTGTGTCTCTCTCTCTGTGTCTCTCTCTGTGTCTATCTCTCTCTGTGTCTCTCTCTCTGTCTCTCTCTCTCTCTCTGTGTCTCTGTCTCTGTGTGTGTCTCTCTCTCTCTGTCTCTCTCTCTCTCTTTGTCTCTCTCTCTCTCTCTC